GGTCTGATTTGCCATGAGTTGCGGAGGTCTGCACAGTCTTGTTGTGGCGGGTTTTGGGTGCTCGGGCTGCACTTCGCTCACTTTGGAGTCAAAGGAGGCCAACATGGCCAACACATGAATAGTGAACACGAGTTTTTCAAACGAGATGGCCTCACTGCAAAAGTTACTCTGCATTCATATCAGGCCATCACACACAAGTGTCAGCTGGCGCGATAGCCCTTTGCTTTTTTTCATTTTATGGTTTTTGGGGGCTCCATGACGGCTTCATGGGTGTTCTTTTGCACGGCTGCCTTTTCAGCATGAAGTGTCTCCAGACCTGTAGGCCCTGCCAAAGAGCTTACGGAGCAGGCGCTGGACGGGTAAAAGCGTGGAAATGGACAGCTGTAGTGAATAAACATCAACTGAGGTGGCGGCACAGGTTTGCAAGGCCTTTCGTCAAGCGGTCATCTTACTCGCTGGAAGCTCTCCTGTTCAGGACCACATTTGCTGCCAGCGCCTGCAAGTGCAATAATGACTTGTCACAGCCCATTCCGTTAGGAGACTTTTGCGAAGAGCTGTGGTGATGGGTTGATGGTCAGTCACCAAGACAAGCGCAACCGGAGCTGATATGTGCAGGGGTGAGTCAGCCAACTCTCGCCTCAGGTTTGCACCTTGAAGCCTGCTGATGCCACATCGAAGCCTCATGTCGGCGACTGGCTCAAATAGCTCATGCGAGCGGCGTGGATACATGCATTGATTTCTTCATTGTCCTGCGCCACAAGATATGAGGTTGACCACCACAATAATTTGTATGGGGACTCTGGGCGTGGAAGGACGGAGGGTCCGCAGAGGGGAAGCTTCAGGGAAGGCACGTGGAAGTTGCTCGTAAGACAGAGTAAGGAGTGCAGTTCCTCCGTAAACAAGCATGAGCGTAGTGTCACTTTACAACAGCCTCTGCTCAAAATACCAAGAAGCAGCCGCGATGGCTTCGAAGGTTGAAGTTTCAGGCTTGCAGAGGGGAAGCTGAGCAGAAGGTTCAGGCAGGGGCGAAGGCCTTTTCAAAGCTTCGAGAGCATGTCATGTTAGTTTCGGTGAAATACCGGTAAGTGAAGATGAGCATAGGCTTCCTTCTGGTAGCTTGGTCGGCAGCAAGCATCGCACCAAGAGATGCCACCACAAAGAGAACATGTTGCCGAAGCACAATGACAATGATTCGCGGGAAGCTTCGTGCTTCGCGCTGGTCGAGCTGTGCAGGATATCCCAAGTTGCTTTTGGACCATGGAAGGATTCGGAAGGGTTTGCGTAAGAGCGTCTTTTCTCATAAGGGTTTATGTACAATCACCACGTACCTGTAGGCTCTGTGGCATCATTTGTTCTCAGGGCACTTGCTTTTTGCTGTGGGATGGCGTTAAACAAGGCCAGACACTTGTGGCTGGTGGGACCATGGCAGAAACACAGTTGACGCCTCAGTTCGACGATGCCTTTCGGATCTTACCATTATTATCAGCAGCGTTTTCAAGAAAGGAGTTTGAAATGATTCAGTATGAGATGTGAGTTGGGGGGTACAGGGATGTTTCTTTGGCTTCTTGTAAGGTGGCTTCTTGCTAAGTCTCCCCCTGAAATTGTCAGGGACCTTGACTTCCACCGCTGTGACAGGGTTCATCTAACGGCAAACTCCTCCTTTTAGTCCCGCATCTCCCATTCACGCAGAAAATGTCAATGCGCTTTGCCAGGGCTGTCCTGGCAAGAGTTGCGGACATCTACATCGCATTCTCTGGAGGGCCAGGTGTGTTTGAGCAGGCAAGGATGCATAGAAGACATGAGCTATAGTCTAAACTATCCCCCTTAATATCCCCTATAGTAGTCCCCTATATCATCCCTCATATAACCCTTCTTTAGGGAGTTTAGACTATAAATCCTAAACCCTAAACCCCAAATAATCCCCAATAAGATCGCCTGTACCTTCTGCAGCTTAAGTTCGAGTTGGAGCCAGCAGGCGAAGATCGCGTACTCTCGCGGGGCATTTGCTGCAACCTTGACTTCTTAGCTGGTGGGTTTAGGGTTTAGGGTCTAAGCACAGAAGAATTGCGTGCTGATGGGGATGTTATAGGCACAATGGAAAAGAGACTGGAAACCATCATATTCCAGGGTTTTTTAGGGGTGATGTGGGGGTTATATAGGGATAATGGAAAAGAACATGTAAACTGTTACTGTGCGTTCAGGATGAATAATACCTGCATGGCAAGTTAGCATCGCCCATCTACTCCCAAGCAGTTTCTATCAGAAAGATGCATGTGACATCTACGGAAATTGAGGTCATTCCGTTGTGCAGCGGCAGCAGCCTGAAGTGCCCTTGATGCTTTGACATATGAACCACAGTCTAAACTCCTCAAAGGTGGGTTATGTAGGGGATTGTTTAGGGTTTAGGGTTTACGGTTTAGGATTACTACATGGGTTATTAAGGGGGATACTGGGAGTAAAGACTATAGCTCATATGGACGAGGGCCAAATGACTTTGGAGAACTGAGGCTCTGGCAGCAACTTCCCAGCTGGTGTTCTCAAGAAGCCCGCGTTTGTCAGAGAGGAAACACATTAAAACCATTGAGCTTTCCTAAAGGGGTAATATTACGGTTATGTTGGGATTATATGGGAAGAATGGAAAAGAAGATGGAAACTACTATAATGGGTTGTTTATGTCTCAAGTGTACCGACGCCGTAAACTGTAGAAGCACCAAATAATAAGCCCTAAGCCCGAAGGAGCACTGGGCCTCACTTAGAGATCCAAACTCCCGAGAAGTGGCAAGAGCGGTAACGGCTGGAAGCTCAGGTGTTCGTATGGTGCTTAGAAGGACTTTACTTAGAGATGTATAGCAGTTATAGGGATACTTGTAACAGTAGTTTTGAAGGTTTAGTGGTTCCAAAAATGAGGGGCAATTTGAACGGTTATTGACTTATAGGGACATACAGGGTCTCTTGAGCGGGGATTTCTGGACTTATGGGGTTTATGGTTTAGAATGGTGGAGAATCAGTACAAAGGGTTTCCAGACGTCCGAGGGGTCAAATATGGGCTTAGGTTCTTGAATAGTGGAGAATCAAAATGGAAGGCCTCCAAAACATTGCAGGGGTTATAGGGGACATTCAAGGATGTATATGGTCGTGTAGAAACATATTGGGTTCTACAGAGATGTATGGGTTCTAGGGAAGGTCATCCAAATGACGGAGAACCAGCTGAAAAATGACAAGGAAACAGGACTATACTGAGTTACCTGGTCGGGGTATCTCACATCGGCTGGGCTTACTAGAACAGATGTAATGCAAGAGCAATTCTTGCAATGTTGCAGTTTCTATAGCGTCCACAGGGTTTCCGCTCATGATGCGGCATGTCTGTATGGCATCGCTGTATGTTGCATACTGTGTCTCATTCCCGGAAATACTAGTTACTAGATTTGAGACATTGCCACGTCCATGCAGTTCTTTGCAACTTAACGAAGGCAAGCTTTTCTTATGCTAATTGTTTACATGCCATGGCTCAATCGTTTGATGTGTAAAGCCAATGCCACCGTCCGCAGTAGATGATGTGTATTCTCACCCGGTGATGTGTGTTAACCGCCTCGTAAGTATCCAATTTGTTGTCAACATTAACGTCCCTTGTTGGGGTACATTAGCAAAATGTTAGGGGCAGCGACCCAAGAACTTGTGATAGGGACCCCCCAAAACGGTACCTCTGGTTTTGGGAAGCCCGATAGTATCTATGCGTACATTGTACATGTGGTTTGGCGCTTGCATTTCGGAACCTCCATCCCCAGGAGCCACGGCCCTCGTAGAGGGTTTTTTCCCTTTTGGTTCTTCGTGACATTCTTGTGCATTTCCACAATTCCGTATGCAACTTGTGTACGTGATTCCATGTAATTCCCTGTAATTGATTCTAAATTGTTTCAAGAAAAACTGTTGTAACTCCAGATTGTTTTGTTTGCAATTCCTTCCGTGCTTCCTTATGCCATGCCTTGTTTATATCATCCCAGACCCAATGTGCGCACATACGTTCTTGCATTCCTCTGAGCTATAGTCACTATAGTCTAAACTCCCTTATACCCCTCAATATCCCCTATAATGGTCCTCTATATAGTCTTTATATAGCCTCCCTTTAAGGACTTTAGACCCTAAACCCCATATGATCGCTTATAGAACCCCCTTGAAGGAGTTTAGACTCTCAACCCTATACCCTAGGCCCTATAGAACCCCCCCCCCACCAGGAGTTTAGACTATGCCTCATTTTGTGGTACTTTTGAAGCCTTAGGCAATCATTGCGAGCGCCTCAAGCCTCCTTCGCAGGGCTGAAGGTAGTCAAGGCCAGCACCTGCACTTTTGGAATCCTATCATGTTTATGTTTGTTGTTAACATGTTATGTTAGTATACGTATGTTGTACTATAGTATATTACATAATGTCATTTTCTTTATATATCTGTTATATCATTATTATATTATCACATGATTATGTTATCATATCAGTATATTAATACAACAAGATATTGTTATCTCATATTATTGTGTTGTTATAATTCTTGTGTTGTTACATTATTCTATTACTATATTGTTAGTACCATTATAGCTACTACATTACCATTACTACTATTATTATTGCTGTTATCACTATTACTACTATTGTCGTTAGTATCGCTATTGCTAACTATCATGCAGATGTGGTGCGGTAAACTTTGATGCAGGTTCGCGAGTTAGTCGCCACGAGCAAATGCGAGTGGATCGACTGGCCATGTCAATCAGCTACTCGCAGGCACGGATCTGTTGACTGCAGCTGTTGGAACAATATTCTAGACGGACAGGGGATGCCGTGGCTCTCCGACTATCTGGATGCTGTGGGGAAACCTGCCCTCGAGATGACGGGCCACGTTGTCTCCGTGTAGAGCTTAGCTCCGCAGAGGTCGCGCCGCTGTTGTTCGGAAGGTGTGCAGGCACAGTTTCATGTGTTGCAGAGAAGGCGCGCATGCATGTGATAACGTCCATGAAAGCAGGACGCTTGTCTGTTCAATCACCATGCCGTGATGCAACAGTTAAGGTGGTTGGCCCGCCAGTATACGCCTTTTACTCTGGAATCTTCAAGTTCTACAAGGTAGGCAGACCCACTAAGTGGCAAGCAAAACTTTTGATGTCGCTTGCCATGGGAGGCCTTACCTCGAGATGCTGTTACGTGCCTTTGGGGTGCGCGGCACAGCTAAAAGCATTTGAGCTGTGGCTCATGGATCTGTTTTCAATTGTTGCTCGGGGGCAGGTTGAGATTAGCCGTAGGAGGTCAGTCGTAGGTACACGGCCAGGTGTAGCGCAACCCAAGTCCAGTGAGAGCTTGCTGGTGGTCGTGCTGACTTTGAAGACCTCATAAATGCAGGCGTTGGACAGTGCTTCTTCGGTGGCCACTACACGGCCTTTTTTGCCGCCGCAGAATCCTTCAAGACTGCTGGTGGTGACCAAATGCTACTTTCTCAGACCATACTTGGCGTTGGAGTACGTTAGAGCTGACAGCTTATGAGCCATTAGGTTAACGAGTCTTCAGGATCTCCAGGCTCGTTCTGATGCGTTCCAAAAATCAATCCTGAACCTCCCATCAGCCTCCCAGAGGTGGCTGCGCTAGCGGTTCTTCATGCCAACGCTGATATGGAGAAGGATCAGATGCAGGGCAACATTCTAAGGATTTGCCAGGAACCGTTGTGAGACTCCCATGTGCAGTCGGCTGCAGGATCTTGGGAAACCGACATCAGCATGGGAGAAGGTGCAGTTGATTCTGTGCACGGCCTCCTCCTTATTCGAGGGGCATCTGAAGGGTCGTGACTTGCCCATGTGCAGTAAAGGTGGATCCTCAGCGCATATCAGACGCAGTCAGCAGTCTATGGACCGGCTACATGGTCCTACCGACATGTCTTTCATTTAAAGACTTTTTTGAGCTGTGATCTCTACAGTTGCTTGATCCATTTCTGACGTTTCATCATGGCAGGGATTGGTCCTTGCCCTGAAGTATAAGTTTGCAAGGACTTCTGGCTATTCTTTGCCTGCTTATACCATCAGTCCTTGTGCGTGTCATGGCTGCTGCATGTTGAGGACTGTCGCCTTTGCGCATTCAATAGGCGCAAATCCCTTTTAGCTGACCAGGGATACTTTAGCTGCAATCGTATGATGGTGCTTGTGCACGGCCGCACGGAGGCGACCACCTCCGTCCCCTCGCAGCCAAAGCGCTGGCGTGCTGCCCTTACAAAGGCAAAATCCAGTTGCCCTTGTTGTTGTTTACGACGGCCCAACCAAACAACAGTCCAGTTCAGCGAAATAACTGTACACAGGGCTTGGCAGATTTGGGAGGATGGTCAGAAGCAGTCTGATGCTAGTAGAAATCAACAATGCCAGCAAGACAAAGAACAAGAAGCACGAGACAGAAAACGATGATGCTGTAGCTGCCCAAGGCCTGCTGCTCTTGCAGTCACACCACCTGAGACCTGGCCCCAGTCTGCTGCCAGGATCTGTAAACTTTATGCAGTGTTTCTCGTTGAGCAGACGACTGTTTGTCCGGTTTTTAGATCAGATCGACTGAGGCCAATTTTTCTTGAGCCTGTTGCCTCGTCTTCCTTGTTTCAGGTATCGTCAATGGGTGGAGCCAACCATCAACCTCAGCTGCAAGGCGCAGAGACGTAAAGAGCCCTCCTTCTCAGGACATAGCTAGCCATTTGATAAAAAGTCAAGACGTAAGAGCAACAATGTAACAAGGTAACCACTATTCCTGGCAAGATACTTGGTACTTGTAGTAGTGATGACGATCACTGAACTTCTCTTGCAGATATTGGTTCTTGATGAAATGTTGCCGTCTGAAGGTCGTGGCAACCGCTGCGGCCTGGAAGCTGCAAAGAGCAAGTGCCTCAATGGATGTGAGCCAGAATCCAAAGGTCTGCGGCAAGACATCATAAGCTTATGTGCAGGGCCTTGTAGCAGAATCGATTGTCCTCATAGGACTTTACACAGATTCGGTTTGCTTGTCAAGCAGCATCTTTCCATATCTTGCCTGGCGGAAGACCTAGATTCTCTCCTGCGTGCAGACGGGTGTGGCGGGAGGTCTGCTCATTGGCAGGACGGCCACAGTGGGCAACGGTGGGGCAATGACTGTGTTGTTGTCAGTGCTAGGACTGCTTGGTCCAGCCTGTTGTCGGAGCCCTGGAAGCTGTCAGGCTTCTGAGAAGTGTTGCTTCGAAAAGCAAGGCCTGTTCTTCAACGCCGTGGCGTTTTGTCCAAGCAGACTTGCGAGGCGGGCAATATGTGATGCTAACTCAGCTTCTCCTTTCACACTCCCCCTGAGCATGCAAAGGATAGAAGACCACTTGACCACCTAATCTCATCAAAAGACATGCAAGTTGCCGGCGCTTTCAGCCAAAGTATGCTGAACGCCTGAGGACTCGCTGATGGATGAGATGATTGGCTGGAGCATGGAACTCAGCACCGGCAACAGGGCTTGTTGGGTGGCAACAAGCTGCAGATTAAGGCCTAGCAGCAGCGGGCATCTACTACCAGATAGTGGAGGGGGTGAACTGGCCAAATCGCTTGCAATGTGTACGTGCGTGCGTGAAGTTGGCTGTCGGATGAGCTGTCATTTCGGCATTGGGTTTTCCAAGTCGTTCTGCAGGCAGTACATTGCCTGCAGTGCTGTGCCAGGGTGGCGCTCCCATTTTCCTGTTTCCACTGACAATTGCAGAGCCTGAAGCTCAGCAATTTGAGCTTGACTTCTCTGCTTGCAGATAGGTGAAATAGGACGCATGGAACAGAACATGGAAAGTACCATGTCACCAAGGGTTCTAGGGTTGTACCCCGAAGGTTGTAGCCCTGGGTTTGTGATCCTTTCAGAGAACTCGTAAGGCCTATACTGGGGTCATATTGGGGAAACCTTGTAAGGGTACGACCTCAGGAGCACAACCCCTGCAACGCTCGGTATCACTGGGGATTGTATGGTCTGTGCTGTCCGTTGCGTTTTGTCTGGAGGACGTGGTTGCAATTGTCCGTCTCGTGGCTCGGAACAGAGTGAGCCGGGCATCTCTGAATGGTGAATCCATAGCTGGCAAGTCTCACATGCGGTTCCGAATAGCACCAGCACTAGCGCTGAAGTTCGGTGTTGTGCTTGCATTGTGCGCATGTACATAGTATGAGGGCTGCAGTGACAGTTTCCAGAAGCCCTCAACTTGTTGCTTCCTTGGCGCTCGGAAGACTCAAGGAATTATCAGGCTTAGGGGTACTGTTGTTGACTGGCTGTTAGGCGCTTCGGAGGCCAAGATTGATTCAATGGAGCCCAGATTTAGAGGAGGGCAACTGCTGCCCTTCGCCATCTGTGCTGCAAATAGTATGCATTACATTTGCGCCAGCCTATCTTTGCTGGTTTGGCAGGCTGTTGAAATTTGAGATGAACCACTGCATGTTTATGCCATGTAGGCTCGGCGACTTTCAAGCCAACGGAAGAGAGTTCCTGTCCAGGTCCAGCCCTGATAACCTGCCTTCCATCTGATGTTGCTGCAAAGAGCTCTGTGCCTCAGGCGAAGTCAGGCGGCAAGGCAGAGTTGACCACAAAGAGGATCGATAGAGTTTTCCTGAGACGGCTTCTGCCAGCAGCACCGCCAGGACTAGCTTGGACTCAAGTCCGAATTCTGTGGAGCTTCAGCCGCTGCCGGCTCAGGCACCGCGCTTTTCAACCCTGTTTAGCATTATTGGCCATCATGGACGTGACAGGTGCAGGAGACCGCTGCAGCTTCAGATGCCGACGATCCCCCGCCGGACCTTGAATCTTTGCAGTCAACAGGGCTTGCAACAAGATAATGCAGTTCAGGACGGAGAACCACAGCCAGAATGTGATGGTGGCCCTGCCGCTGCTGAACGTGCTAATGGTGTGGATTGGACAGCAAAAGATGATGACAGAACTAATCCGGAAACGCTGGAAGAGATGGAACCGGAGGCTCCGGATCTGCAAGTCCTCATTGGTGTCTAATCAACTGCTAGATGGCATCAGGAGCAGCATGCGTCGTTGGCATCACCTAGAACGGAGGCCCTGCAGTCAAGTTATCGGCTTGATATTTGTTCCATTTTCTACGCCTGCCAATCTTTTCTGTAAACATGCAACAAGAAAGTTTCTAAGCTGAACCGATACACGAACTCCACTGTCGATGTGGTGTCTGCAGAACAAAGCTGTCAACTCATTATAACTCGTTCGTCGTTCATCTTGCAGGAGTCGAGCCCCGTGTCGCGCAGCATCGCCGATCAGGTCTGCATGCAGCAGGTTGGGGCAGGGAACTGGGCAGGGCCCTTGCCTGTGAAGGCCGCCATGCACGGAAGCAAGTCTGCTTCTGCAGCGCGGCACTCTCCAGAGTGGATGCCAACACTGAGGCGGTCTTCCTGTGAGTCTCCAAAACCCCTTTGTTTGAGCTTGAGAAGCTTGACTGCGTGAGGCATTTGCAAGCTGCCGAAGCCAGAATGCTGCTTGGATCTGCAGCAGAGTTTGGTATTCTTAGCTGCCTTAGCTGTCCTTGCAGCGGCTCCGAGAGTGAGCTTACGAGATAAACGCGCCTTGGTTCCTGAGGCCTCTGCTGAGGCAAAGGAGGGGCGATCCGCAGTGAGCGTATTCGCATGGCCAGGGAAGCATTTACCTTCCACTGTTTCGTGCTAATTTTCTGTGACCGCATGCCTTTGTGGCACATCAGGCACTGCGCCACAACCGCATCGCTTTGCTGTTTCACCAAGCCCAGATGCAAAAGCATTAAAGCAATTGAAGCGAGTGGACGTGATTGTTTCGAGCAGCCCCGCTGATCGCTGGGCAGCATGTCAGCTTGTGAGATGTTTTTGGTGGTTATGACTGAATGCCCAGTAATTACTTCTTGCCGAGTTTGTCTCAGTTGGCACGGGAAATTGCTTGAGCAATGAATGATTTAGAGCCCAGTACTGGTCCATTACTGTTGAGTGTACAGCGACACAGGAATCCAGTTCGCCCAATTCTGCCATGGCGCTTTGCAACCGTGCCCTACCAGTGGCATCTCCGTGGCAGGCACGAGTTGCCGAGCAACGTCCCGTCATGCACTTGCTAAGTTGAAGGTGCAAGTCTCGCCCCGGCCGACATGGTGCAGGAGCATGCAGATCACGCTTGGGTTTGAAGCAGCTCTGCCCAGAGCTGGGAAGTGCAGGCCGCATCTAGCGCGCACTTCACCGCGTGCTAGTCCCGTGGCGCGGCCGTTCCGGCAATGGTTGTCAGAGGCTTGCTTCTGTCGAGCATTCTTGTTTGTGCAAGGTGAATGTAGCTTCAGACTTTCTCATCTCAGCAGGTGCAAGAAGGGGCCCAGCAGTTAGCGGCGGACAGCAGGGACATCAGGACACTGAAGGATATCATGCAGAGTCTCCGTCGAAGCCCTTCCATGAGGCAGTTCTTGCCGTGTACTGCGGTTGGACGCGCATTTAAGCAGAGCACAGTTAGAACGACGCTGCAGGCGGTTAATTTCCGGGACGATCTGCTTATGTATCGCGGCTTGCAGCTTGGCCCCTTATGCTGCCTTGCTTCCTGTGGCAATGGGCATGCAGGACATGGTCTTGCCAATGCCATGATGCGGACTCATTGTGTTCGCCGAGTCCTGCAGGACTGGCAATCGTCCTTGAGCCAGGAAAGCCTTGAGGACACGATGAATTTGTTGCAGAGACTGGCTGAACTTAGTTTTCGGTTCTTGCTTGGCCAGTGGGACCAGAGGCAAATACCCCACAGCCAAGGACAGAATATGGCAAGAGCAAGGGCATGTCCCTGCACTGCAGGTCAGGAATAAGGCTGAATCATAAGATCCCCATCTGAAGCTGTGAGAAAGTAAGAAGGCACGACACCCTGCCAAGGTATTTCACATTTCTCCTGTTGAACAAGTTACCCTGGAATTGGAGCTCTCCGCCCACATCAGATTTGGAAGCTGCTGCTTCGACCATGTTTGGGTCAGCAACTTGTCAAGAATCACACCTGCTCGTCTTTCAGAACTTTCCAGTCAAGCCGGAAAGAAGTTGGAACTGCTCAGGTACTCTTGGGATCTGGCTGTGCGGCCCTTCTCGACACACTTGCAGCGGCTGTTCTCTTTGTGCCAGGAAGATTTGCGCACCTAGGCTCATTGAGAGAAGTCAGGTCACAAGAAAAGGAAGGGTCATGTCATGTCAACCCCGATGGGTTTGTCATTCTGAGGTCACGCTACCTACCCTTGCAGGGACTGGAGCTGAGAATCACTTCTCCAGTTTCACGCACGCCAGGTGCGTGTGCACGGTCAACTTTCCCGTTGATCTGAGGCCTGAAAGGTACCGCAGGACATGCTCTTGATTCTGTGCCTCGCTTGTCATGTGCCAGGCTGTTGTTGTGAAAGCATGGAAGCTCACGAGCTCAGGTCAGCAAAATGGCGCGGGAGGATGGCTTGCCATGAGGGTTTGTCAGTGCCATCTTTCCAAGCCTAGATGATTTCTCGATATCGCAGATCCGCTACTGAGGCCCTGATAGAACGGGCTAACTCGCAGTATGGGGCAACCTTGGGGGACCTTCAGCCTGGGTACCCGCAAAGTCTTCTTTATCAATTAAGCGCATGTTAAGAAACACCATAGTCTTGGAAACATGTGTTAAGGGACTCCTCTCGCTCGAAGCTATGTGGTTTTCACAGGAGATGTGGAAGCTGGATTGAACACAGTGGGTCTTCCAAGGTTGTGCAGGTCTGTGGGAACTCGGAAGATGACTCTCTCTCTCTCCTCTGCTCCGCAAAAAGTCAAACAGTTTTGAGGATTGTCATCCAAACGCGCCCGATTGGGTTGGATGTTTTGGGATGCCAACAGCAACAGCGGGTACAAAAGTCACGGCACCGCTGGTCAACCCGGTAGTCACTTCTGCAATGCGGAGACGCACGAAAGTGTATTTTACTTAAAAACGCAAAAAACACGGCCCCTTCAACAACGTGGAAGTCGCAGTAATTGCTGCAGCAACATTAGCTCTTACTTACGAAAGTTGGCTGACGCTTGCCAGGGCTAGTAAACTCAGTAAACGCTAAAGCAATGAATCTGGTGCAAGTCATTAGCTCCCGGATCCCCACCCTCAGCAAGAACTCAGGTAAGTATTCGGAAAAAAGATTATGACAGGCATTCATACAGAGTGTGGTTTGTAAACAACAAGGTGTGAAAGACTTGCAATTCTTAGAATAGCAAGCCACTTATCCTCCATCCTCCAAGGGTTAAACAGATCTCGTCTTGGTTGTCCCTCCCAATGATAGATACAAGATCAAAGGCCGACTTGATCCATTAGGCTGGTTGATTGAAGGACTGCAACAAATTTGATATTCACGGACGGTCAAACATTCACCAGAACTTATCAAGACGTGTTCACGACTACACAGCAACCGCACAAAGTTTTCGAGGTGCTTTCAAGATCATGTTGGTAATGTGTTTATCATTTTTTTCTTCGGCAGGGTAATTAGTTGTCCTAGTCCCAGGCCCTCAGCGGTGGTAACATGAATCGCCGATCATTTTTTTTGTCTAGGGGAGTGTGCCAAATGACAGGTCTGATTTTCGCTTTACCAGCAGCATGCGTACAAGACATTCACCACTCAAAGTGATCATCCACCGTGAGCCACCAAACACAACAAAAACAGAACATGTGCTTGTGTCATCACGTTCGGCCTTCATTGTAGTGACTCACTGGCATTTCACCACTTGCCTCCTCATTTTGTGGGAACATTTGTCATCAGTATACATATCATCAACATTTTTATCCCTATCTGTGTACACGTGTCCCAATCTCGGACCATCTCCGTCATGCTTAAACTGGGTTGCTGTTAAGGAACTTAAATTAAGTCACTATATTGGGGACACCCTATTATTTACTATATATACCCATTATGGTAACTTTATTTAAGTTCCTGAACAGCAACCCAGTAAAGCCTTCGTGATCGCGAGGATGGGTTTCGGGTAGTGCTGCTCTTTCAGCTCATCTTTGGCCCTTGCTCGGCTGACGGAGCCATCTCAGCTGTGCTCTGGCTTCAGATTGTGGAAATGGACTTACTGGTGGTTAGTAGGGAAAAGGGGAATGATCCCTTTAGAGTATATTCCTTTATTTCCTAGTTACCCCCAGTAAGTGGGGCGTTCTTCAAATTGTGGCGGGCCGTGTGGTTCATTTGGGTTTTTAGGGCCCTCATCTCCAGATTGCAAGCCAGGCTATGGGTGCACTGGGCGTCAGCCCTCTTTCGTTCGCCTTGGGCCTGGCACATAGCAAGATACTGCATGAATTTTGGGAGTTTAGGGATCAAGGTATAGGGTTTAGGGTTCAAGGTTTAGGGGTTAGGGTTTAAGTTTTAGGGTTTAAGGTTTAGGGTGTGGGGTTCAAGTTTTAGGGTTTAGGGTTCTGTTGGGCCAAGCCTGAGGTCACAGCGCTGGAGCTCTACGATTCTCTCTAGACTTCGCGGCGTTCTGAGCTTCTATGCCCCATAGTATTACCGCGACAATTGCTATCAGTATTATTCCTATTACTATTATTCTTATTATTACCATTACTGTTGTTATCTCATTTATTCCTACTACTATCGTTCTTACTACTACCATGATTCTTACTACTTTGAATAAGCACCAAGAGTTTGAGACCCTCGTCAGCGAGCCAACGTGTCCTGCCGTGGTCGTGGTATGTCATGGTAAAAGTACTACCAAAAATAGTAATAAAAGTCACAATAGTAGCCGCGCGCCTCCGCGGCCCGCGGCCTGCGTCCCATGGCCTGCGTCCCATGACGTGGCGGTCCGACGCCTGCAGCTTGCGGCCTACGGATAACGTGTCTAAGATCATAGGGCGCCCAGACCCTGAGGTTTCCGCAATTTCCGGAAATCCCGGCTTCAGCATTTTTAGGTTTAGGGTTTTTGGGGGTTGAGGGTGTTTAGGGTTTTGAGGGATTAGGCTTTTAAGGCTTTGGGGTGTTATAAGGGGTTTTAGGGTTTAGGGGGTTTAGGGTTTGAGAGTGAAGGATTTTAGGGTCTACGGTGTTTTGGGTTTTTAGGTTTTATTCTTTTGGGGGTTAGGGGTGTTTAGGGTGTTTAGGTCTTCGGATATTTTTGGATTTAGGGTTTTTAGGGTTTAGGGCTTCTAGGGCTTTTAGGGTCGAGGGGGGTTTTGGGGTTTTAGGTGTTCAGGGTTTACGGGTTTTCAGGATTTTCAGGGTCTATGGTGTTTAGGGGCTTTGTAAGGTTTAAGGTGTTGAGGGTTGTTGGGGTTTAGCATTTTTAGGGTTCAGGGGGTGATACGGGTTTATAGGGTTTAGGGGGTTTTGGGTTTCAGGGTGAGTTTTTTTGGGGTTTAGGGTGTCTACGGTTTTTAGGGTTTACGGTTTTCAGGGTTGGAGTTGTTTAGGGTTTTTAGGGTTTAGGATTTTCGGAATTTTGGGTTTTTAGGATTTATGGCTTTTGGGTTTTTCAGGGTCCAGCGTGTTTAGGGGGGCTTTAGGCATTCAGGGTTTAGGGTCACTTTGGGTATCCATAGCGTTTAGGGGTTTTAGGGTTTAGGGTGTTTAGGGTTTCGGGGGTTAAGTGTTTTTAGGGCTTAGGGTGTTATAAGGATTTATGGGGTTTAGGGGTTTTGGGTTTCAGGCTGAGGGTTTTTGGAGTTTAGGGTGTCTAGGTTTTTGAGTTTACTATTTTGGGATTTGAAGTGTCTAGGGTTTTTGGAAATCAGGGATCTTAGGGTTAAGGGCTTCTAGGGTTCTTAGGGCCCGCTTCACGCGCGCCCACATCCTGCGGCGGGCTGCGTGTCCGCGTAATAGTACCATAGGAATAGAAATAGTAGAAGTAGTGAGATGTAGTAAGAACAGTGATAGAAACAACGTGTCCTGCCATGGTCGTTGGAGGCGTCCGCTGGGGCAGCTTTGGCGTCGCGACCACCGAGTGACTTGCAGGCTTGCTTTGCATTGTAGATGCGTCTATTCCAGGATGTTCATGGATGTTCCTTCTTCAGCAGCTTGTACTCTAGGTTGGTTTTGGTTTTGGAAGCAACCAGGAGCTGCTTTGACATGCTTGAGTGAACCTAGGTGAAGCCCTTGTGCGTCGTGTAGCTTGCAAAAGAGTCCACAGCGTGATTGCAGCATGAGGTTTGATTCGAGACTGCAGGATTTTGTATGCTCTGCCTGCAGGTTGAGCTGCTAACTGTTCTGCAACTCATTCTTGCCGTGGCTTCTGCAAAGGGCTCGGTGCTTATGCTTGTGTGAACATAAGCACAACATTCTCTTTGGCAGCGAGGCAATTGTGACGACGGTGCTGGCATTCCAGCTGGTAGATCAGCCTGATGCCCAGACTTCGGATCTCAGATGGTGTCCCAAATACATGGAATCACCAGGTTCTTGGGACGCATGTCTGCCCGGTTTGCAGCCACATGGCCATCCGTGGAGCCTGTGGACATATGGTGCTCACTGCCAACAGCGCGTGACTCAGTTCTGGCCGCAAAGCTTTGTTTGTTGCCCTAAGTTTGGCTCAGGTCGAGCTGGCCATGTGCGAAACTGCCCCAGTCGAGCCGTGCCTGATCTCTGGCTACAACGTGCCTTTCTCGCTCAAGTCGCCCCTTACATCAAAGATTGGGGATGCCAGGATGCTGGGCCCTTCAAAGTCGCCAAACTTTGCTGAGCTCAGGCTGGATGACCTGGTGGACCCCAAGCGCTACACCTAGTTGGCGCTGCATGTGATTGCAAGGTAAGCCGCGAATTAGATGATGTAGTAAAGCTGTAGGTATCCGTGTGGTGATCATCCAGCCCTCATGATGTACTCGCCCACCGGGATCTTCTCTTCTTATGCCGTCGAGCGGGAAGTGTCTCGCTCAGTCTGTGCTGCTTGTGCATGCCAGAGTCGGGAGCCACTGCCAGACAGCAATGCGGTTAATGTACAGGAAGATTGTGAATCTCATTCAGATCTGCAATCCAAAGCCTAAGACCCTCCAAGCCGCTGTGCAGATTGGACATGGTGCATTGCAACTTCAGCTGCACTGCATGCCATGTCGATAGGATCAAATCTAATTGGATCAGGTTCTGCAGCATGCTGACGGCCTCCGCTTCGCAGACGGCTCTGCTGAACGTCCAGCACATGCGCCTCACTGAATGGCATGTGCCACCGCAAGACTGCCACCACAACAAGAATGCCCGTGTTATCTATGCAAAGAGCTCAGGTGCATCGTATGGAACAGTTTCAGGATGCGATCGCCCACCTGTGCAGGAGTCGCCCGAGCGACATCCGGCTTCTTGCTTGCATAGAAAGCACCATGCAAGCAGGTCCAACCATATTCAGTTCAGTATTTGTTCTATTGACTTGTACTTTACATTCTTTACATTCTTTAACCAGGTAGCCCGTTCGAAGCGCATGCAGCAGTTCTGAACGACTGTATCTGGCACGCCGCTGCAAGCGTTTCGGCAACGCGAGGTTCAGCCACAATCGGTCCGAACCAGTGATGTACTTTCGGCAGGGTTTTCCACCACGGCAGCGTGTCTTGCTTGCGCATAGAGGCATTTTGGACGGCTTATGCTGAAAGTTGCCAGTGGCTGAAGGTGAGGAAACCCTGCACAGTATGGGGCTGGATCCAAACATCTTTGCTGATTTTTCAACTTACTGCTCAGAGCCTTGTCTGCACATCCTTCGGGAAGTCTCTCTTGCAAAGTTTCTGCGATAGAGAAACCAGGACCAACACTCTGTTACCAATTTTCACTACGACCAGAGCCCTGGATTTCTCCAAATGTGTTCGGGACGCAAGAGGGTGACCTGGCAGCAGCATAGACTGGCGGATTCAGAGTGTACCACTGAGAGGCACATCTGAGAGCACCCGTGGCGCATGAAGCTAGTGATGCTTTGTAAGTATGTAGGGGGCAAGAACTGACGAGTTCCCAGGTTCGTTCTGTCTCGAGACAAGCTGTTTCGGAGCCTAAGGTGTTGATCGTACATCCTCGCTATTCTGAGTACATGACTTCGGCTATAGATGGGAGGCCGCGCTGTGACTCTTTAGTTGATTGTTGAGATTCATGGTTGTAGTATGGTATGGTAGCCCTTGGCGCTTGGCAGGCGATCCTGGATTACAACGGAAACTCAGGCCACACAATTCCTTGTTGGTGGTTAGAGGGGATGGAATGAAAGGGAAAATTTAGGGACTTGAATACGGTCTCATACGGGGATTAATTTTTGGGTCCATTCCTGCATTCCTGCTAACTACCAGCAAAATTTGAAGCTCAAACAACTAATGTCAGGATGCAGTAAGTTGACAGGCGGTGACCGTGCCGCATTGGAACATTACCCTGCACTCTGGTGAGTGTGACCCGGCTGCAAAAAAGACTTACTGTGAATTAGTTGTCCGCTAGGTGAACTGAACTGCCTTTGTTGATGCCATCCTAGCATTTGCGAAAGTATCAGAAAGCTGAAGAAGTTCGCTGCCTGCATGAATCTGTCTAGTATCCGAGGTTTGTACATCCCAGCAGGATATTGGCACCAAGTAACATCGCTTGACTCGCCCACCTTGGGGACTGTGCTGCGGTACAGAAATGCAGTTGCGCATCCTGCTTCAGATTAGCTATTTCCCCAAAGCATGAATGGACATGGGTGACATGGGTTCCTATTAAGAAATATATCAGGGACTACTAAACTTCCAAAGAGATCTCAATGATGAAGTATGCTTGCTGGCACAGTTGCGCTCACCATTCTCGCTGCATGCCGCAGTATGGATCCATCCGAGCAACTCGGCACTTGTTCCGCGACAATGCACCCCACAACTCCAATCTACTTCAGCCAAAGCAGCACAATTGACGAGAGATTTGAGTAGCTCGATGTTGCAATGGTTTGGTGTGAAGCGCTGTGCCGATCTGTCTTGGTGCCGAGCACCATGCGGTTCACGTACTCGCACATCGCAACCGTGCTGTTCTACGGACTGCTGTCTGACCTGGGTCGGTCTGACCAAGTTTTTTGATGACCCCTCCCGTACGGCCGCAAACCTGCGCTCGACACGCGAGAAATGCGTGCGCCTTCAACGGGAGGCCGTTGCCAAAGCAGACACAAGCGCCCCACAGGAGAGCTTGAGGGCGGCAGTGCGACATTTAGCCGCCATTGAGAGATGGTTGCAGCCAAAACGCTCGACGTCATCGAGCAACCTGCGGCAATATGAGCCAGAAGAGCTTGCTGCAGAGCTGGGCCTAGATTCCCTAGCTAGTGGTGAAGACTTGGAAAACTTCGTCGAGCATTTCTCCACTGCGGTTGGTACCGGTGAGCTGCTGGTTGCCGCCATACCATGTCTTTTGCAGTCAAAGACGTTTCGTCATCCGGGCACCTTCTATATAAGTTCAGAGCGCCTGTGTTTCCGTTCTTCCGTCCTGGGGATGGAAGCTCGGTTGGTAATCTCCTGGTCCATGGTTGAATGGGCCCGGCTTATCACCGAAAGGACAAACTCTATGCACCCTGTTCGAATTCGACTTAAGCAGTCAGCTGAAGTAGATGGTAACATGGTGGATAGCTTTGACCTTCGGATCTTCGATGTGGGTGCCTTGGCACACATGCACAGCTGCGCTACGTATTTCATCGGTACAGGGCTCTTTGACCTGGTGCCATCTGATGATCGGCGCGTGTCCTTTCCCAGTCCCTCTCCCATGGGAGGCAGTGGCAGCGGTTTGGGTATCGGTGAGACCTTAGCTGCTGGCCCGCGTGCACGAGCACCCACAGTATCAGCTGAATCGATGGTTGCAGACCTAGAGCAGCTGAGCCTTGTGTGGGAGCTTCAGAGGCGGACGACCATTTGGCATAACGATTGGAGGGCTCCGTTTCTCCCACATGACTATCAGAAGGCCATCAAATGGATGTCTATCCAAGACCACTACCTGCCCCATCCGTTTATTCCTGAAGACATCGATGTGGACGAGGCAGCGGAGAGTGAGGAACCTCCAATTGAGGAGGTGCAATTCCTAGGTAGAAGGCGCGCATGCAAATGGGATATTGTCGTGGATGAAGCCTCAGACTCAGAAGGATGGCAGTATGCGGTTGACTTCTACTTGGAGCCAAACAAGTGGAGCAACAGACTTCGCGGCTTTTCGCATGTTCGTCGCAGGAGGTGGCAACCAACTTTCCTGGCAGAAGTGGAAGCCCCTGTAGCAACCGTGCGTAGCGTGACGAATGCTATGACTCGCGACAGGAATCGCTTGAATTCTACCCTCATGGCAGAGAAGGATGCCTCGCCACCGCAGCAAATTCTCGTTGAGGACCTTGGAAAGATTCCTCTGGAAACCATCCGGCAGGATTTGGAGAGCAACGACTGGGAAACGGAATTGAATTTGATGTCCATGCATTTTCAAGACCTCAACATGCAGAGTATTGAGCTTGGACCATGGGTCGATGGCACTTCGTCAGGCTCCAAAGTTCAGGGCAAGCTGCGCTCGATGTCAATGCGCGTTCCAGTGCCTCCAGCGCCAATGTGTCCAAAGGAATCGCGCTGTGCATGTACTTGGCACGTGGTATGTGGTGAAGAAAGGTGCTTACTGGAGAGCGTGATCATGTCCCTGGACGTGCCATATGGTACGTGTTTCAACGTCATTAAGTGTGACATCTTCACTGTGGACACAGGAAGTGGCAACACAATTCTTGAACGCAAGTTCTCCCTGGAGTGGGTCAAGGGCTGCTGGATAAAGTCGCTTGTTGAAGCCAACGTTCCCAAAGAGATCAAGGCCGATGGCGTGCAATGGGCCAACCTCATCAAGAAGTGGGCCCAAAAGATTCCTGCTACGGCCGATAGCAGCGACAAGAAGAAGAGGCCACCCGAGCTTCAATGAGGATGTGTACGGCAAAAAGCATCTGGGATTATTTGTGCCCAGTTCTGCTTCTGATTGTCGGGCCTCCAGAGGGTTTTGATCTTGGTTTGTCGGCACCTGGTTGACTGCTTGCATGTGATGCCGCTGCATTTCGAAGATAGGCTCAAGGACTCCATGCCGAAGCATTCAAGCAAGGTTGCATCACGTCCAAACGTACCAAACAACATACCCAACAATTTGGTCATTAAGCTTGACATTTGTTGAAATTGCTGCGCCGTGGTGACTAGGTTCGCTGGCTGCATTGGTGAACCTTAATCTCGAGAAGGTTAACAATTATTTGAATCTGTCAGGAAAAAACATGGCGCCCGCTGGAAGAAGCGAAGAAGAAACAGGTCCGGTTCGAGCTGCGCTCTGGGGGCTACTGGGGACGCTTTGCAACTCGACTGGCTTGGTGCAGGTTCGAGCAGCAGCAGGTCCGCTTCTGTTGATGAGGACCTTGTTCACCCTGTTCTTCTGTACTTCTGTCAGGTTCTTGAAGTCGATATAGTGGTATGGTAGTTTCCTAAAATCGGGGGACCCCAATAGAGACCCCCAAAAACATTATAATCCTTGTTACAGGAACCCCCCGCAAGGAAAACCCCCATATAGCCTTCAGCTGCTCAGGACCAGCCAATGGTTTCAGTCATACGCGCTGAACTCGTCCGTGGACATCGCCCTGTGGTTGTTTCCGAGGCTGGGCCGCCGGCGGTTTCCGGATCCATGTGGGGGCTTCCTAAAATGAGGGGTACCTGGAAAGGGTGCGATATGGGGATTATATAGGGTTTAGGGTCTACGGTTTCCCAAAAAATAGCGGTACTTTGTTGGGGTCCCGTATAATAAGGACTGTAGTACTTTGGGGTTACATTGGGGTTCCCCCGATCTAGAGAAACTGCTATGTACCGCAAGACGAAGCAGGTGCCCGTCTACATAGGACTCAAGGACAGGCAAGGCCGGCAATTTGAAGATAAAGGCACTTGCCACGAGCTCAGCTTGCAGATGTGAATTCGTTTGGTTCTGACCGGTCAGGCATTTGATGTTTCACCATCGTGTCCAGGCCCTTACGTGAACTACCGCTGGCTTCGCGGTCCAGTTGTGAGGCCAGGCCAAGTAGAAATTGCCGAAAGGCCATGTACTATCATGTACTTGAGTCTTGTTCTGTGGTCTTTCGAGGCCTTGCTTCTACCATCCGCACAAGCAGTCCCAGATCAGGGATGTCGTGCGAACTTTAGTGCAAAACCACCCATGACTGAGTTACGCTAATACCCGGAAGCTGAGGCAAAGACGCGCCTGTGCTACTGTTCCAAGGACGGAAGAGCTTGTTCAGCACACTGTTCAAAAGCTGCGGCGCAAACAGTTAGTGGCACTGAACACATCTTTCACTCGTCCGCTGTCTGTACGTTCGTCCACAGATTGCTGTAGATATGCTTATGTGCAGCCGGTCTCGAAGGAATGTTTCCTCAAAGGATGGAGCAGCATCCCTCCGGAGAAGTTTGGAGCCCGGAAGTCTTGTCAGCGATCTGAAGTCTGCTGGGGAAGCACCAATGGAGCAGGTGGGGTGATGCTGATGAGGATGCGAAGCAGGTGCGTGCTGTGTCTTAGCGTCCCAGCTGGAGGGTGGAGGGTTCTAAGGTGTCATATTGCGCAGCTTAGATTCTTGTGGTTCTCTGGCAGTGACGCGTCCGTTGGGTTGAGACAGTGCAAAGTGTAGGCAGCAGGTGCAATCGACTGGATTGCCTGCATAGCAAAAGAGATCATCAGAGCCTGGAAGTGATGGCAGAAGCCTGCAGCCAAACAAAGTAGAAGCTTGGGAGTTAGACGTGTCGATTTTGCTGCTCGGGCGGGTGTCTTTTGTGAGGAGCCTGTTGCCGAGTGGGTGGAGGTTGCTGAGGACTCAGCACACTTGACATGAAGGAGCATTGCATCGCAAGTGCTGTCCGCTGCGTGTCCTGCATGTTGCCCAAAAGCCCTGCGTCGCCCTGCGTTTTGTCAACTGTACCCGGAGCAAAAAGAGCCCCCCTCCACAAGATACAGTTTCTTGCTTGTAGCCCACTCCTTTGAAATCGGTATGAACATCTTGGGGACAGAGGCGAAGACGCGCAACTATAGCCCGCAGAAGGAGGCCGGCCCGGCACGCTCATGACGTCACTACAACAGCAAGTCGTTTTTTTTCCATGGACGGTGTCGGGCATGTCACTTGCGTGCCAATGCGCGACTGCCCAGACGGCTCAGGACATTGATCGCCCTTTGCGCCTGGAGATCACGCCCCTGATCAAGGCGAGGATTCTGCTGGGATTGTCTGAAGGAAAACTAAAGAGCACAAAGTAGAAATGAAGGAGCGTTTGCCTCGCAAGGATGGACGTGCAGATGAGAAAGGCAAGATGGTGATCACGACGGGCACTGTGATTCCAACACCCAAGGAGGCGAGATGTTATCAGATTTGAGTGTCAGCAGCGCGGATTTGCATGCTCCTGCCTTGAGGTGCGAGTTCGGCGGATGGTAACCAATGGAAAGCACCTCAACGTGTCGGCCTTCGTGCAGGTAAAATCTGATAAAGTACGTCTAATCGATCGGAAGCCTCAGCTCTCGATCTGAGCAAGTGTTTGCAAGCCTAGGCAGAATGGCTGAACAAGCAGTTCAAAGTAATGAACTGGAATGTCAATGGCTTACAAGCTCTATCATGCTCCATTCAGGCCCGGTTCTTGGCATTGCGTTGGGTCAGTGAACATGCACCAAGGTCCTTGCAGATCTTTATGCCACGGAATCAGTGCTCGGCCCTACTGTTAGCAAGTAAGTTGTCGACGACGCGCGTCCGAGTTCAGATTTGGCATGCTTCCTTTGTGGTGCCTGTGTGCACAAGGTGTATCCATACTGTGAAAAATGGGCACTGTCCTGGACGTGGAGAAAGCACCTCATCATGAAGGCCCTCCAGAGTTCTGTTACTGTCAGGTTGCATTAGGCCTTTGTTTGAAGAGAGAATCTTGACACTGTAGGAGTTGAAAGCCCATGCGGCTGACATCATTACACTCCAGGAGGCGGCGTGCAGAAAGTCAATCCTAAAGCATGTCAAATCGCTTGTATCATCAAGGTGCAGAAAGATGCCTTCGACGACTGGTTCAGGCTCCGTTCTCAGATTGTTGAAGGAGTTTTTTTGATCTGAAAACTTATCTCGGCTGGTTATTGCGGAAAGTGCGAGGCCTGGGCTACAAGAAGCCGGGTATGAGGGTGTCTTTCAGCAGAAGAAGCGGGACAGAAGCAGTCCATGTTTCTCTCTCGATGGTGGTCATGTTATTGTTTCAAGTAGCTGGTCTCAACTGAATCTTCAGGACCCAATCTTCCATCGGGGTAAATACACGGCAGAAGGCATGCTGTCCGCATCTCGTCGGGTCCGTGTTCACTTGGCGCTTGTCAGGCTGTGCGACTTTTTACAAGCAAACCCGCTTCCGACGCCTCGACAAGCAGGCGGAACTTTTTTTATGAGCGCACAATTCTGCAAATTTATATAACATATAACCCTAATATAACCCTAATATAGTTCCAATATAACCCTAAACCCTAAACCCACGTGCACACCAACGAGAACGGAGACTGGGCATAGAACTGGTGGGCAAGATTGAGGGCAGCATGTCGCTCGGCGTCTCGGCGGTACAAGAGAAGAAGGTTGATGAACCAGATGGTGGAAGCTGAGAGTGAGGATGACCTGGGTGGCAGGGATTTGGACAGACTCCCGCAGGAAGATGAGCAAGGCATGGAGGTGGGGTCACCTACTACGGCGAGTTCGGAGCCGAGCCTGGCCCCACTACTGGACGGCCAGCTGGACATGTCAGAGGCCACGGGTAGTGGAGATGGAACCCAGGAGGAACATGCTGCACCAGCCCGGGGGCGACCTGGCTCCAGGACTGGCCTGGAAGACATGGAACAACCATATGACGAGCACGTGATGAGGGATGAGGAAGCTGATTGCGTGATGCAGGTGCAAGATGGAGGTGGGGCACAGGACCGATTGGGTAGTCATGAATCTCCTGAGCAGCCGGCGGACGTACATGGATCTGCTCTACATGGACAGCGAGAGGAGGGTTCCCAGGTACGGGCGCCACAGGAGGAAGCTGCTTTGCATGAAGGGGATGGCCGTGGCCCGCATCCACAGCCAGATGGAGGACATGGAACTGCTCTATGTGCACAGCTGGAAGATGGCGCTGGCCTACCTGAGCAACCAGATGAGGGACGCGGAGCTGTTCTGCATGGACAAGACACTGGTTTGCCGGGACAGGCTACAGAACTTCCGGAGGAACAGGCACGAGGGCATGAAAGTGGTGAGGATGATGGCGAGGCCCTGCATTGTGGACCTGGGGCACGAGACCGAGTGGATAGTCTTCAATTGGCTGAGCTGTCGGCGGAAGTACATGGACCTGCTCTGCATGGACAGCGGGAGGAGGTCTCTGAAGTACCGGCACCACATGACGGCGCTGGCCTGCATGAAGGGGATGATCATGACCTACGTGCACGGCCAGATGAAGGAGATGGAACTGCTCTACCTGCACAGCTAGAAGATGGCCCAGAACTACCTGAACGACCAGATGAGGGACACAGAACTGTTCTACATGGACAACAGGATGGTCTTGACAGTGGTGATGAGGATTGCGTGGTCTTGATGGCGTGGGGGTCGGGGATCCCACCGTGGAGAAGGACCTACACAGCCCGGGACAGGTGGTTAAAGCAAAACAATGACGAGGGATGGCACCGACGAAGACAAAGAGAATGGAAGCGTGATCACTGGAGGGGATCATCACCGTCGAGAACGAAAGGCAAGGGCAAGAAGAAGGACAAGGTGGACAAAAGAGCAGGGCCGAAAGCAAAAGCAAGGCCTTACTCAGTATGGTCTGCCAGTGGGAGAAAGGAAGTACAGGCAGAGGATATCGAAGAAGATGATGAGGATGAAGTGGAAAAATAGAGTGGATGCCCGGCTTCTAGTGCATCCGGCCCGCGACCTGACCAGGAGCCCTTCACGGTCGAGAACGCCATGCACCTCTGGAGGGAGTTCCTCGACATGGAAGATGAGGGTGATCTTGGGTACCCGGGATGGGCCCTTGACCGGGTCAGAGATACAATAGCTGGCTGGCCGGCGGAGGATGTCAGCATCCTGCTGGCACCAGCAATTTCTCAGTCTGGTGATGGCCCAGGTGGCAGAAATAGCGCAGCAGCGGATAGCTGCGGCAAGGGAAGAGACAAGACGGAGGCGCCCGGAGGAGGACGAGAGCAGCCTAATGCAGGCCTCCATGAAAGCGAAGGTGGTGGAGGACGGCATCTCTACTTTTGGGCTTGAACTACAATTTCTCACAGATGAGCTCTCTGCCATGACGGAGGAGAAGGCGAGGGTCAGATCCGCACTGCTGAGAGGGTTGTTGGCCAGAAGGTATGGCTGTGGATCAGGCAGGTTGGCCATGGGAGCGAGGGCAATGGCTCTTGAGGCGGCGGCGGTGGCCTTTGATGACAGTAGCTCGGCGGTGGAAAGTGAAGTTCCGGAATGTGCAGACGACAGGGCCTGGGGAGAAAAATGGTGGAGGAAGCTACTGGGCCCTATCATGGAAGAGGAGCGTCAGCTGCGTGTGGAAAGGGAAAAAGCCAGGGGCAGTGCAGTGCCGGAGACTGTGCAGGAGACACAGGAAGAAGACCTTCTGCCCCAAGAAGACGGCCACCGAAGTGTTGACATCATGGTGCAGGACGAGCTGGAGGTCAAGCGCCAGGTGGAGCAGGAGCGTGCTGCCCAGGCAAAGGAGGCTGCCGTGCTGGCCAGGCAACTCCAGGAGTACGAGCAGGAGAAGGCCAGAGAAGAGCAAGAGGACATGGCCAGGTTTGAAGAATTGCAGGCCCAGTACGCGCAAGAATGGGACGACTGGGTGGTTTGGAGCTCGATGAATGCACCAGGGTCGCCAAGGGAGAGGCATGTGAAGAGACAAAAGATGGTCCTCAGTGTACAAGTTCAAGGTGAGCTGCAGCCTGTGCGCCGACTGGACTTTGACATGGTCCCTGGAGTGCCTGTGACGATCGGGCTACATTTGCAGCTGATGGATGATGAAGTGGCGGAGACGGCGGACAACGGGGGTGACAAAGCGGCGAGTAGTCAGAGCCCAACTGAGCGAGTGAGTCCCTTGACGCCTGAGCCGCATAGCCAGCTTGAGCAAGTGAAAGGGTCAGGGCTGATTTCCGATGCTGATTTGACGGCCTTTATGGCTAGTGAGGAGGGCCTTAGTGTTTTCCGGGCTTGGAGCACTGGAGGGTACACATCTGACCAGATCAGACGGCTTTACGGTGAGCATGTGCTTGAGGCCTGCCTAGCCAATCATTTGGTCGTGGAGACCGGTAGTGCGAGTGTTCCGGCTTCTGAGGGCTGAAAACTTTCGCCTGGGC